GTTCGTTTTGGCTGTTATCGTCATTTTTATTCCTGCATGTATCTGTTAAGACGTCACCGACAACAAATGGAAATGATTTTTTCAAGGAGTTCCGCGGAACCCATTATACACTCGAGAAAGATCGAATCCCGAAATAAACAATATGATACCATATTGATATCGAGGAAATTTGCCTTTCTGTTTAATAATTGTCCTGGAGCGCGGTATCTGTCGAACGGTTCGAAACGGAAGGGCTGCTGACGATAATAGGAGATTGAGCTCCGAAACGGGAGAAAACTAAGACTCCATCCATCCGAGACTCGAGACTTTATTTTGATCGACTTGGAGACTCCTGCCCAGAGCTGGGCATAGCTGCTGCTGCGAGTGCGATTCGTGACGAGATCATTCGATTCCGACTCGGGAGCATCGGGGGATGAAGTTTCAGTCTTCTTCTTTCTCGTAGGCACTCTTCCAGATGTCCGCGAAGCAGACCGCCGAATGGAATCTTCAAGCAAACATCGTTTAGTTCTTTCGTTCGCTCCGGCGAGCAGGACTTGAGGGAGAGAAAATAGGCTCGGAGCTCACGGGGTCTGGAGGATCCAAGAATCGATTCCTGAACCTTCGTACCCACCTGTAAAATAGCATCAGGGGCACAGTTGTGTGCCCGATGTAGAGCCAACGTTCGCCGAAAAACTTCGGTGCAGCCACGAGGGTATCTGCTTTCTTTTGTTCGAATGTGAAGACAACCCACATAGCCAGGTTGATGATGATCAAAAAAGTTACCAGTTCCCGTCCCGGTTTCTTATACCTGGAACAGCACTCGTTCCTTCGACCTCCTTCCTTTTATTATGAGAATTTCCCGAACCCGCGAACAAGAAGCTGAAATTCAATATCTGACCTTTGCTTCGGCGAGAAACTCGATCGACGGAGACCATCAATGAGCATAGGCGTCTGGAGAAGGACTTGGAGGAGTTGTAGGAGCAGAACCCCAGCCCGATACCCGGAGCCCTGAAATATAGAGTTAGATGCGTGAGAAACTTCAACTTTCCGCTCGTCAGAAGCGTCCCTCTCGATGCGTTCATAGCCGACTCCTCCCTGCTGGACGTGATGATTTCGTCCTCCGCCGAAGTTGAGAGTACCCGGCTTTTCCACGACGGACACATCTCGGAGATGGAGGGGAATTCATTTTTGAAAAGTACAGAGGATATGGATTCAGGCTACCGCCCGAGGACTCTGCCTTGGACCAGCTCCGAACCTCGCTGACGGGAAACCCCACGGAGGTTGCACGTTTCGCGCGCGAGATGGTCGATGCCCTCGTCTCTCGACCATTCATCTCTACAATGCTTGGAAAACTGGGAGCGAGGTCTACCCTCTTATCTCACTTCCGCTTGCGTGAAAGATCTCCGCGATCAAGTTCAACGCTGTGTTCACAAAGAAGAAAGGAATCGGTATGACTAGTAGACAATCGTCGAGAAATGTGATTGGTGCAGGGTTGAAGGACAGCGACGATGTCTTGAGGAAAGCCAATGTGACAGCGATCAATGCCACTCCTGCGAGCGTTACTTCCTGCCAAAAAATCGCATTTGAATAGAATTTCAGACCAGCTGATCCGATGATGATTCAATAATTCCACTCGACGGTAGAGAACTAGTTTCGCGGATCGAT